TTGTTTCTTTAAATTTTTTATTTAAAAAATATAATATCTATTATCCTTACGATAACATGTCCTTAGAGTTAAGGCGATAAATTTGTGTAAAAACTAAAAGTAAATAATTATTTAATCAAATCCCAAAATATTTTCTTGTTACATCTGATCAGATAAACTAGCCACCTTCGAAATGTTTATTTATTAATAATAGTTTAAACAATAATAATCTTATATTAGAATATATAATCTGTGTACAACGTCATTTTGACAGATTACAAATTACAAATATTAAAATGAACTTGAATTATCTATTCTTTTCAGCTTAATAAAAAAATGAACTTGAAAAACACAAAATCATATACATTGGATAAATAAATAGCAATTTTAGTTCAAAATAATATAAATTTATGCATTCAAGGAACAATACACGTTCAAAGTCATTGTAGAAAAAGCAATCACAAATAAACACGCTCCTGGGAGTACGGGCGGGTAGAACGTATCCAAATGGCCATTATAACATTAAGGAGCATAGTAAAATATAATTATATGTGTTAAAAGTCTCTTAATAAAACTTCTTAGTGTTTAAACTCTTTGGATGGTTAAGATTTTCTTTTTTGTTCCGGATTTTACTTTAATTCTCATATTTCGTCTACTATTTGATCCAATGATGGATGAACAAGTTATTCTTAGTTCAAACTGTGTATCTTGTCATAACTTTCTTTTAGGTGTCATCTAAACAGATTTACTTATTTTTATTCCTTACATCAAGTTTAAGTCTTAGTATGGAAATTATTCTATTAATGACACTAAGGTTTTCTGATACGCATATTTTTTTATCATTTTATATTTACATAACCCTAACGTTTAGGTTCCTTTACAGCTAAAACGAAAATTCGACCAAAAGCAATCATTACTACCAATTAAATTTCGTGTCAATATATTGATAAGAATATAAACGGTTCTATTCATTCATAATAACCTCGTTTCTAGGAAAATTCACTCAATCATCACATTCAATCTCTTTCGGCTTGATATTAAAATGGCTTCGTATATTTACGAAGTAATATAGGTACATGTTGTACCAATATTTTAAAATTATATATTGATATATGTATTGAAACAAGTATAGTATGTATTGTTGTAACTATTACATTGAACATTAATTTATTTGTATGGCTAAAACGCAAAAGGAGATTTTGTATAACATTTTGATTTTATTAAGATTTCTAATTAGAATCTTCTACGAAAAATTATATCCTAGATGTCAGTGAAGGAAATCATTTTTGAACAGAGAAATAATTAAAATGTCGGTGACAATTAAAAAAGTGCAAGATTTTTCTTTCAAATTCCAAAACAACTTTAAATAATCCTTACTAATATTACAAATGGAAAGTTACTCGTCTATATGTCTGTTTATCTGCTACGTTTTAAGACTTAACCCCGGAAACAATTTTGATAAATTTTAATATACAGGGTGACTGGTGAATTACTATCAATATTTAAGGAGAATACTCGGTACATGATTCTCATTCGAATTATGTAAAAAAAATAGGTACTTAATTTTTGACAAAATTTCCGTATAAATAAATAAAGCGTGGACACGTTCCAAGTGTTCCAAGAGTGGACGCGTGCGGCGGCGTGCTGATACAACACTATGCCACCACACGTGTGTGTGTGCGTGTGTGTATACCTAATCTGTAGGGTGTTCACACGATGCGTAATTAATTACATAACTTTTGGTTAACTTTACTTAGAAGTTTATTAATATTTATGTTATATTAATTTTTATTTCGTCATATATGATCGTCAAATATCACGTCCTCAAGTATCGATAGTAATTCACCAGTCACCCTGTATATGTTGTACTAATATTTTAAAATTATATATGGATATATGTATTGAAACAAGGATATATTTTTGTAACTATTACATTGAACATTAATTTATTTGGGGTTCAAAGACTACAGTGATTTTCTTTTTTAATTTCTACCCTTATCCCTATCCCTATCCTTATCGCGATACTGATCCTGGTCCCGTACCCAATGAAAATCAAAATCCCGATTCCTAATTCAGTGGCCATTGCTGCAGAGAACAAATCTGATGTACACTGACAATGAGTCGCGGGCAAAAGCTAGCAAGTACCCTATATTAAAAAGTAGGTCTTGTTGAGTAAGTTATATTATTAGACATTATCAAACGCACTGCTTCTTAATCGAAATACAATTTTTCTCAATGAAAAAATATTCATACATATAAATTACAATTCATACCCAGATCAATAATTTCTTAGTTTTGTTATACACATTTCTATTTTATGTCTCAATTCCTTCATCCTAAAAATATGGCACCAGCTGTATTTTACATCACGCTTTAAATTTACTGATTCAAAATAATATAATATGACAAAAATCTCACATACGTTGGCGTGTATGTCTGATTCTATAAGCTTGATTATTATAATTATTGAGAAATAAAAGTCAAATAAGTATCCTTAAATTATCAAAAATAATGATAATGAGATGGAATAAATCAATTACCTTCTTAAAATCTGTCATACTCATAGGTGTGATTGATTGCAGATAGAATACAAGTGTCTCTATGAAATTCTAAGTACAAAATTATGTATTGAGAAATATAAGTATGTATTGAGAAAAGAAGTTATTTTAAAGTTGTGTGTTCGAATTTTTCTAACTTAAGGTCCAAACTGCTGAGAGTTCTTTACTTAGTTATTTTTATTTAACTCACAACATCCCACACAGAGTCAGTAACTTTAAAAAACATCGATTTCAATACATGTAATAATATTTTAAAAGTGTCTTGAACATTTAATTTTTTGTTTATATATTGTATGTATATAAATAAAGTTCTAAAATAGAACAATTTAAAGAGAACTATCTAACGGATTCTCCGACCATGTAGGCGTCTAATTAAGAGGGCAGCCGTACCGCGTTCCAAGCGTTTAAGGTCAATTTAATAATTATTTACTATAACGTCAAAGCTAAGGAAAATATAAGGTTTCGGTGAGAAATATAGAGCGATGTTAAGACTAGAATAATTTTGATATATTTTCATATATGCTTTCGTAAACCTTTCACTGCTAAACGGTGACGGTAAGTAGGTGTCCAAGGTGAAAGGTTTTTAAATTAGATAAGTTTGAAGAGAATCTATTTTGTTGGGGCTTAGAACTTTCTAGTTCATGGAGAAAAAATGGCTTGCAAGATATTCATGACACATGCTAATATTTTTAATATCTTTCATTTAGAATATATACGACACAAAGCTATTTGGATATACCTGATCTTGGAAATTCAAAATTAATTTGATAATGAGTTATTATAACAGGATTACGTTTGGACACATTTTAATTAGGGATTGATTTGGGATTGGCGGAATCTTGGAGAGCTGATGCTGCATTCAGTATAAATATATATAGGCATAAATATTTAACGATTTTATTTTGACTATTAAATTTTCATCATTTTCATCAGTGTTCTCATTTCATCCATACACTTGGTACTGGATGGTATCTTACTCCTTATAATATGTCTGATGTTGACCTCAATTAGTTACATTTTTTAAGGACTTGATTTTATTAATTAAGTTTCGCAGTCTTATTGAATAACAACATTAAAATAAATTTTAAAGAAATATCTTTCAATATAAATTCTTGTAAAATAGAAATTTTAACATTATTTTGAATCAGAGGTTATGGCAGAAGCCTATAACCATAGTTCTGCGTAGGCTTCAAGTCTGAATTATTATTATTATAATAATATATAGGCCTTTTAAAATAATAACATGTGAAGTTATTCTCCCAATGACGTTTTTTATGGGACTCATGAAGAAAAATAGAAGTATTTGTCATATTTAGAATCAGAAATCTATACAGTTAGACTTCTGGTTCTAGCTAGTAGTAATTCTAACTCTAATCCATATAATGGTTGATTTAAATTTAACCGAGGCTAAGTTACATACGTACATACATCATCACCTCTCACTCATAACCAGAACTCAATCTAGATCTTATTAACAAAAGTAGTTTTCCATAACTCTACTATCCGTACATATGAAAAGCACATAAATCACAGAACCTCCTACATTACCAAGCTTAATTAAAACGATAAATAACACTTTGTTTTTAAACTAATTAAGAATGAAATCTTTCCTGGTAACTGCGGAGAAAATTCAACGTCAAAAACGTTAAATAATGGTCTCTATGGCGATAATTTTATTCAAGAATTTCTAAAGTTGCATCCATTGTTTAACACTTGTTACAACTATAAGATTAATATTCATTTAACAAACAGTTCAAATAATAATGGATGTTGTGCTTCTGTAGACTGAGTGCTAGTTTGAGAACAGAAGCGTTCTCTTAAATAAATAGAAATTATTTGTGGGACAAAGACGTCCAAGAACGGTGAAATAGAACTAATATTATTTCAAGATTATTATATGATCATAATATAATTTAGTTCATGAAATTCGAGAAAAACTTGCTTGTATCTAATGAGATCCAAGATTTTCGGGAGTATTCATTTAAATGAAACTAATATTTTTCGGATGTACTACGCGATTTTTATTTTTGATTATAAACTACATACTCCCGACGCTACGTTTCGGTTACTTTACAGCAACCGTGATCACGGGGAGACGAGATGATCGACGTGAGTTCTATTAATTATTACGTATCACATAATAATGAAATAAAGAACAAGATATAACACTTCTATAAAATAATTTATCGATTTATTATAATATTTTAAAATTTTATTTCACTTTAGTTATTATTATTTTTAAACTATAATATGATACTTACTTTAAAAACTGAATCAAATGAGACAATAATGAGATAATACAATAAGCTGTATACAAATTACAAAAGATTGTTAATTTGATTTCAAAAACTATCTAGTTTCAGAGCGAGACCATAGTGTAACAAAGTTCATTAGTTCACATTATGTTTTACAATGTAATGATGTGCTTTTTAATATGATTACAAAACTGTGTTGTGTACGCAGATGTTGAGTCTCCGATCGCGCGACTGTTCCCTGTTGATGACGCTATGTTTACACTCCGCGCCTGCGCAAACACACAGCCCGCGTCACTAGGAGCTGTTTTATCTTTTTTACTCCCCGCTACTACAACACAACACACAGACGACCGCCGCGCCGTGTGTGTGGTCGGCTAAGAGGATATTGTTAGGTTTGTATGTTACTTTAATGTTATTTTATTTGCCATTGTTTTGACAGTCTCGTGGTAGCGGTCACAGTCTTTGTGGGCTGTCAATTAAATGGGTTCACCGAATACGGTTTCCCGTGTCGATAAAGCAGAACTTAACTTGTGGAGAGGTCTAACCTGAGTATATGTAAGTATAAGTGAATGGACACAGCATAAATAAATTAATTTGAGAAATTGATACGTGAATAGAGACATTCGCTGAGCGCCACGATAATAGACCGATTACTGTTATAATGGGATTGCGAACAAGCTCTGTACCATATATGTGAAAATAAGAACTGGCCGTCGGATCGTAAATCATAAGTTTTTGCCGCTGCAGCGCCCTGACTTTATCGAGTCAACAGCAATCCATTTCGGTCGTGGAGTTTTCAACTTTTTCTCGGTCAGTTCGGCTGTCGGCTGGCGGCCGGTGGTATCAATCATAATTGGTCGGTTTTTGCAATTTCCAGAATCAGCGCTGCGTGCACGCACGTCTGCGGGCGAGCGGGGCGAGGGGCCCGAGGGGGGGTGTCACTGTGCAAATGCACTCGTAAACCCGACGCGAGGTCAACGGACCCCCTCCCCGCGCGCCCCACCCACCCGCACCCCGACATGTAAAACTTAACAACTATGATTTATTTGTTTTGTTTATATTATTAACATTAAAACCTTTTTAGCCGAGTGAAATGTATGTTAATATAGACATATCTATCATTACTTTATAGCAAATAACTTTGAAATGAGTTAATTTTCAACACGAGTGCCCGATTCTCGGAAATAATACGGCTCTCTCGCGATGTGCATGAGTTTTGACAGGCCATAGTTAAGCGTGTAAATAACGCCTCAAAGCCGTCTCTAGAGTTACCTCCGCGCTGCCGGCGAAACGTTTTATAATGGAAACCAAAAAAGGAGTTTACCTGTTCACGTCTTAATATGAGAATATTCTTAGCGCTAATTCAAGAGCTAATGTAGTTTAAATCTTTCAACTGTGTCATGTTTGATCCCAATTAAAACCATGTACCATCAACACATTCAGTTGATAACACAATTAAAATTTTATCTTAATCAAGCAAACTTAAATTTAAGGAAAAATATTTGTCACATAAATAGGAATAATGTTTCTCATATGTTTTAAATCATTTCTAAACACGTCAAAGGAAAGTTTAATTATAATATAACATATATAAAGATGAACTGAATGAATGGAATGAATGAAAAATTACGCCGAGCTTGCATCGTCACGCTATAGCGGTAACAGTTTTTCATTCATAAATCTTGTAAAATCATTATTAATTACATGTGAAACGGGAAACTCTTCGTATGTAGTCAATGGGAACTCATACTAAGTGTAAGGACGCGATCAAAAGATCGCATTATAATTGTATATTTATGTGTTATAGAAACATGTAAACGATAAGTTTAATATTTAACTGCTTTATGTCTCTATTACCTTTTACTGGAATTTACATTTTAACAGCTTCTCGTGCATTATATGAAATAAATATTGATTTTAATATCATTTAAAGCTTCATCTTTAAATGGAATTTAATATCTTGTTATGGGATAGCGAAATATCTATATACGATCTTTCAACGGTTTTTCTCTTAATTAGAAGCATCACTACATAGTTTTTGTTTCGTCACACACAAACCTTTATTGAGTGACATCTGTCAAAAGTGGTATTAATTTTAATACAGATAAAACAGATTTCATGAAGATATATTTATCAAGAACATTATTGTAATATTAAATTTAATAGCTAAAACATGTAAACATGGGAAATATTTCGTGTAAATTATATAATATAATTGTTATAATGTTGGAAACACAGCCAAGGAAAGGCGTCGCTAAGCGCGGGAACTTACGACGGGGCGAACGGCCTAAGAAACAATACACCTATTACACGTGAACCTATTAGCTTTAGAAACACACTATTGTAATTTTAATGTCATATTAATGGTTATTTTTTATTATTATTATGTTTCTGTTAGTAATATAAGCTTGGGACGTGACTTTGTGAATGTTTGAATATAAGATTATATTATACAGGTCGACTTAGTTTTATATTAATATTGAATAGGAGTAAATTATACGTAGTATGGAAATGTCCAAGTAAATCAAACGATATATTTCATTCTTATTAAATACACAGCAGGCTGACAAGTGTGGACCTTCGTTACATAATCCTACAAAAAAAATTCATTTGATTTGAATATCATTGACACATTGATCTGTCAAATAACGTTGTTTAGAAATATGTAATATGTTATTAAAAGTTTGGAATTAGTTGTATATACCATACGCACACACACACACACACACACACATATGCATATAGGTATAAAAGATCTTTTTTTGTTCTTGTACAATCATTAATTAAACATGATAATTCAATGTACATAGCGAACTAGTAAGTTAGTGTTAGTGATTGTTAATAAACTGTTTAGAACGTGGAAACGTTAATAAATCATTAGCTTATTATGTGTAAAAAATGTTAACGTACATAGATACAGAGCAACTTCTTTTCTTTTTTTAACGAAATTCAATATACATAGGTATTTATTTAACCCAGATATATTGCAATACACAACCAGTTCGAGTCTTCCATACATCTCAAATAATATCTTCATATAATAAAATAACCTTTAATAAAGCTCGTAAACATTGAAACAAATATCCATATTAAATCGTAAAGTTCCACGGAACCTGATATCAGATGTCAAATATATAGCACCCGATGCAAAATAACATATTAGATAAAACAAGGGTCGTACAAACTTCTGATTAATACACTTATTGGAATATTAGATGACTTATACTTTGTAAACTTTCAAACTACGCAGATAACTGTAACGATTTTAATTTAACTTTAATGATATATAAATGCTGTATAAGTAAAAGTAAGAACAAATTAGCGAGAGTTATTTGTATGATATAGATTGTCAAATAGAATATATAGCCAGTTTAGTTACGTAATACCTCCCGGGAGCGTCAACAGTAATTAACACTCAAGTCTTCACGAGTAGGGAGCAGCACAAACACTGAGTTTCGACATATCTCCTACTAGGCGACGCCGCTTCTTAAGTGGAAAGAACCGTGCAATATCTATTAAGAGTATAATGGAAGTGAGCGCTGGTGGAAACACCGAACAAACACGAGCCGAACATAAAAACATAAAGAACTCTCTGAACTCACCGGCCCAGACACGGAACAGTCCATAAATATACATACATTATATAACATACGATATCCGAACCATTAAAAGATAAAAGCCGCTCGTAATTGTCACTTAATATTCAAAACGATTATAAGCAGATGTTAAAACGATACGGACACCGCGAAACTGAACAAACTCACGGACATTCTGATAGAAAAATTATATTTATGCTAATATTAATTATAATAAGAAATGTTACATCAAAAAGACGCCGGTGACTGTGTCAGCATATGCCGGGATGCTTTATATGTCTTTTGACCCTTAAAGTCAGCTTTACGATCTGTTACAACTTATTCCGTTTATATACATACAGACAATATGTATATTTCTTATGACATACATATTTTCATATTCAACCTATGAACTGTACATACACATGTTATTATAGACGAAGAGTACTTATAACTTCTGAATCCATAACCCACTTTGAGTATACTCTAGAATATATCTTCTGTGACGTCTTAATCTGTTTTATTTGAAGGGGTGTTGAGGAAAACGAAATTCGGTCCGTAAAAACTTAGAAAAGATAACGTTTTAGGTCAAAGGAAATAAAAGGATGGAAAGAAAATATGTTCTCTGTATTCTATATTTAAAGTAATTTAATATCTTTATTAACAAATGAACACTTTTCATTTCTAATTCGTAGATTTTTTAATATTTGATTACATTATTACTTTTATAATTAAGATAAGATAACGAAAACTCGTTCTTGTACGTCGTGATATACTACTCGTATTAGCACGTGTCAGCTTTTTGAAATAAATTAAATTTTAATACACAAATTACATGTCTGGGTATCAGAAAGCGTAAATAATTGTCAACTCATAATATCTTTCAATTTGCATAAACAAAGACTACAATATCATAAAATTGATACCATAAAATGTTATCTTGGCCGATGAAAGAGATATTTAATATTTTATAATGTTGCAACACAGCCAACCGATATTAAGTTTACGTGGAATAGAGACCTGGGAATTATAATCCTCAAACTTCTTGTTTTTGCTTTTGTAAATAACTGTTACTTATCAAAAACTACTGATATGATTATATTAAACACAATTATCATTATCAATATTGTTTAATAACTTAATTTTAAACAAGAATATCAAGTACAATTAATTTAGTGTTTTTTTTGTACAAATTGTACCTATTCGTACCTTTTTCTTTTCCAATTGAAAATAACAGAAAAAAAAACAACTTATAGAATTTTTTATATTTTATTTAATGTTAACATTAAGATTTTATTTTATTTCAACAAAACGAAACAAAAATAGATATTTTATTATTGGAAATATATATTCATAGAAATTGTCACAAATTTTAGAATTATTAACTATATCTATAATTCATTTGAACGCCATCTGTTGAAGGATGGGAATAATATTTTGTTTAAAGGCTTTGTACTTCTTGTAACAAACTCTAAAAGTGAATGTTTAACGTGAGGGCAGCACTGAGGAGTGAATTAATATTTACATTAATTATTATTTATACGGTGTTAACTATGTTTTTTACAATTAAAAAATATATAATTGTTTAAATAAATTTGTAATTACAGATATATATATTTCTTTTTATTCTATAGATGTGACGTAGAGAACTTTCAAAACATAATTGTTTTTAAAAATCAGTCGATGCCGCTCTCGTTGCGCTGTCAGTGTCAAATCGTGTTAAAGGCGAAACGGTTGTCGCGTTTTCTAATTTTGAATTAAATACGAATGTATATAAATAAAAAATATACTTTGCGTCAACTA